AATTTACAAATAATTACGATAAATCATTAAAAAAAAATCCACCGAAATTAAATTTTAGTATTTGTATTAATGCATCCTAATTCTATTGTTTTCGGATTAATTCCTATAATTCTAAATGAATTCTTGTAATTCCTACTTAATTTTCGTAATTTTAAAATAATTCCTGTTATTACGAATTAATTCCGATAGTTTCAAGAAATTCAACTTAATTTTCAAAATTATCTCTGAAAGAATTCCAATAATACTAAAAAAAAAATCAGTAATTTCAGAAAAATTTCACCGAAATTCAATCGCAATAATTTTATTAATCCATTGTTTTCAGATGAATTTCTGTGAATCCAAATAATTCCTGTAATTTCCACTTACTTTTCGTAATTCTAAAATAATTTCAGTAATTTTGCAAAAGAAATTATCTCTGATAATAATTTTAAAAAGAATTCCAGTAATTTACAAATAATTCCGTTAAATCATAAAAAAAATCAGCGAAATTCAATTTTAGCAATTCTATTTATTAATCCATAGTAATTTTATTGGTTTCGGATTAATTCCTATAATTCTAAATTAATTCTTGTAATTACACTTAATTCCATCTTAATTTTCGTAATTTCAAAAGAAATTGTTTCTGATAATTTTAAAAAGAATTTCAGTAATTCCAAAAAAATGTCACTTGAATTCGATTAATCCATCGTAATTCCATTGTTTTTCGATTAATTGGTATAATCTTAAATTAAGTTTTGTAATTACAATTTAATTTCTGTTATTATCTTCGATAATTCCAAAAAGAATACCAGTAATTTTATAAAAAAAAATTAGTAATTTAAATAAAAATACAGTAATTTACAAATAATTCCTATAAATCCACCGAAATGCAATTTTAGTAATTTTATTGTTTTAATAATAATAATAATAAGTTCCTTTAGTTTCACGAAGATCAACGCAATTTTTAAAAGAAATTATCTCCGATAATTCTGACAAAAACCAGTAATTCCAGAAAAATTCCATTTCTTTACTCTAGAAAATCTTAAAATAATAAATCATAAAAAAAATCCACCGAAATTTAATTTTATGTAATTTTATTAATCCATCGTAATTCTGTTGTTTTCGGATTAATTCCTTTAATTCTAATTGAATTTTTGTAATTCTAACTTAATTTTCGTAATTTTAAAATAATCCCGATAGTTCTAAGAAATTTAACGTCATTAAAAAAAAAAATCTCTGATAATTCCAAAAAAATGTCACCGAAACTCAATTCTAGTAATTTTATGAATCCATCGTAATTCCATTGTTTTT